GGTGTCAGCCAGTTCCACTCCTTCCTGGAGGCTCCAGGGCAGAACATGCTTCCTGCTCACGCTGGCTGCGGACAGAACTCAAAGTTTTGCAGTTGTTGGACCAAGCCCTACACTGCCCACCATCTGTCAGCAGATGGCCAACCCCAGCCTCTGAAGGCCGAGCCATGTTCCCTCACCTCCTCTGCACAGTGCTAGGAAAGGAGGACCAAGTCCCTCTGAGGTCACAGGCTCGATCACTCCAAAGAGCTCCTGTGGCTGCACTTAGCCACCAAAAAGTCCAGGACATGCCATGTGCGGGTTAGCGGACCGGTGACCTCAACTCCCCTTTGTCACATAACATATTCACTGGCTCCAGGGACAAAGAGACAGGAACCTTTGGGGGCCACAGTTCTGCCCACCATACCCCCATCCCTTAAGCCAGAAGCCTGGAGATCAGATCCATCCAAATGCTGCAGCCCCTCAGTGAGTCCTCGAGTACCACCAGCGCCTGGCCACCAACTGCACCACCCACAGCCTCTCCTCCACACTCACTTCTGCTGCACTTTGCACAACCAGCCCACTTCCCCTCCTGCCTCTCTTCCAGGCTGCTGAGGAGCATCCCAGGGTCACACACACACACCCCTCTGCCACTGGCACCTCAGTGCTTTCTTATGGCCCTCGGGACCCAGGGGCCCTGGGCCCAGCCTGCCCACGTCCTCCTCCCCGCCTGGCCGCAGCCTCCCCAGCAGTAGGAGGGCTGTGACATCCGCCTCATGTCTCTACAGGCCGTGGTGGCTCCTCCTCCTGTTCGCGTCTCAGCACTGCCAGGGAGCCCTGAGGAGGGGTGACCATCCCACACATGAAGGACACTGCTGTCCTGCTAAGGTGCCTCTGAGGCCCCATCCACCAGCCTGCATTCAGCACTGTCCCTGGACCTCGAAGGTGCTGGGGTTCCTGTGAATGTCGCCACTCTCCCCAGCAATTGCTGGAGGCCCCCTGGCCTGCCGAGCTGACCCGCTCCCCTACAGGCTCCTCACAGCTGGCAAAGTGCGGAGTGCGGGCAGAGCACAGCGTTCCCTCGCTGCAGCCTCCTCCCCAGCACCCAGGGCCTTACCACAGCCACCCTGCAGACATCACACCAGCATGCCCGGCCAAGGCACACCCTCCTGCCAGCCAGGGCCACGCTGACAGGCAAACCTCGGTGCCACACTGAAAGGCTGCCTGTATTTGCAAGCCCAGTGTGCAGGCAGCAGTCCTGGCACGTAGGGTGCAGCAGGAATTCTAACTGTGGCTGTGGAAATCAACAGCTGAGTGCCCAGGAAGCCGCTGGCCCAGAAAGGCCAGGCCCAGAGAGACAGACTGGACACTCCCGTGCTTAGCACCCATGTACCACTTGCCCTGCCACTCCTGGGTGTCCGCAGCAGTCTCCCCACGTGCCTCCACATCGTTCACACAGCAGTCAAACTGAGAAGATCGTGCCCCCTGCCCAGGCTCCACTTCAGAATAAGAGAGACCACCCGCATCTGCAGGGGACGACACAGCCCTGCCTCCCTCAGCACAGCCTCACTGCCAACTCGGCACCTCTGCACCTGCGCCCCTCAGCCTGCACCACTCCTCCCACAGTTCCCTGCAACTCTCTCCCCAATAGCACCTACACTGAGGAAGCCCCAGCACCTTTCTCGCCTGCCTCAGGGTTCTCTATCTCCCTCCGCTGCACCAGCGCCCCCTCCCCCCGTTAGCTCTCTTTCTAGGTTGGCCCCATTCCCCACTCTCCCATGCATGCTGTGAGGCCAGAGACCCTGGTCTGGTTTGTTCACAAATACACCCTGCGCACCGGCATGCAGAGCAGGTTAAATAAATACTTACTGGATGAGTGACCAAACTCCCAGCACTGGTCTCCTCACCAAACAGAATCAGGCTGCTCCAAATAAAGCTTTCCTGGGTGCTGAAGCCACGTCAGTCTAATACAAGTAGCAGGTGCGGGGGGCCGATGCGAGGGGTGGGGCTCACACAGTGGGGGGGGAAGGAGTACAATGCACCCAACTCCTAGTCAGAGGTATTCCCTCCACACGCTTGATAGTTCACTGGAAAAGCAACTGCTACAAGCCTCGGCCAACCAATCGAGCAGATACCAAGGTGTGCGCAAGACAGCTTCACCCTTGGACAAATCAATGATCTCCTCCAGCTAATGTGAGTCTGAACCGGATCAGTCTGGGTCAAGCACTGCTGCTTAATAATGACAATCAGAATGATGCAAGGTGAGTGAGGTGCACTCTCGGAGTATGCAGGGCTCACTTCCTGGTGAAGAGAGCAAGCACACAAGAGAGGACCCGGATCCAAGCTGCACATAATCGGGCCTGTGGCCTTGGGCAGCACTTTGGCTATGGGAGATCTCACAGGCCATGCTTTGTAAGGAAATGAGCCACGTGTGGTGGCTAATGCCTGTAATCCCAGTGCTCCCGTAATCCCAGCACTCAGAAGGCTGAAGCAGGAAGATCTCACCAGGAGTTCAAGGCCAGCCTGAAATACACAGTGAGACCCTGTCTCTCAAAAAAAAAAAAGAAAAAGGAAGAAGTAAATACAAGGAGGTGAAGGCTGAAAAGGAAGAAAGATAAGCGAGGAAAAGAGAAGAAGGGAGCGTTATGCTGAGCTTCCAGAGCAGGGGAGCGGCACAGAACGTGTGGGACCCAGAAGCTCAGCAGCCCACAAAGAAGGACCGGTGGAAGGGGAGGCCAAGCAACTGAGCAGTGGATGCACAGAAAGGGGCCTAGATGCTGGGGGAATGTCTACACATGCCATAGCATCTCAGGCGAGACAGCCACGTGGCTTTAAACCCAGCCTGCCTTGAGGAGTGCAGCCTAAAGGACAAAACCCCTGGGAGACCTGACGCTTGAGCAGCACCACGATCAGGCATGGCACACACTCAGCGTGCGGCTGTCAAAGGCTTGTGATGGTGGGCTGTGCTGTACAAAGGCTCCCTCACAGCCTAGTACCGCTCTGTGGTGCATGCAGTCTCCCTCCTGAGCTTCCCTGGGTGAGATTAACATTCAGTAGGCAGAAATGACCATGGAACCACTAGAAAGAGCAGGCAAAGCTGACGGCTCTGCTGGCACTGCACCTGTGCCAGTGAAGGCCCAGGACATGGGCAGCC